CCTAATCCCGAACATGCAAAATGTTGCGTGGATTTAGCATTGAACATGATTGCCATAATACAAGAAGTCAGGTATGTATTCGAAATTTTTTTAAAATGAAAAATTCTATTTATTTATTAATTTTCTAACGATAATTTTATGAAAAAAGGCAAGAAAAAAAATTAGATATTGATATGAGAATTGGAATTCATTCCGGAAGTATTCTAAGCGGATTGATTGGAAGATGTAAATGGCAATATGATATCTGGTCGAAAGATGTTGTTATTGCTAATCATACAGAACAATCGGGAAAACCCGGGTAAGTTATTTAACCAATATGAGAATAACAGTGCCGTCAACGTAATAAAAAAAAAAAAATTTTTTTTTAATTTGTTTCAGGATGGTTCACGTGACAAAGCAGACGCTTGATTTATTGAGCGGTAATTACGTCATCGAACCAGGAAATGGTCATTTAAGAGATCAAATTTTGGCTAAATACAATATAAAGACATTTCTTATAAAACCTCAAGAAGAGGTAAAATGACAAATTTTTTTTTTTTAATTTTAACATTTAATATTAAGCTTTTCTTCTTGTTTTAAAATGGACGACAGTTAGGTTAAGATTTTTTATATTTTGGAAAGAGGAACGATACTCTTATGTTACAGGTACTCTTAAATAAAATCTCAGGAAAAACTTGATGGAAAATCGGGTGTAACGAAGACAAATTTATTATTACCAAAAAAGAACAAATATTCAAATTTACATTCTGAAAAAGGATCATCCGATGTTATTTATGGCGTTTGTAAAAATTAATAAATTATTAATTTTTTTTATCATAAAAAATAAATTTATTTGTTAAAACGCAAAAATATCATTTTAGCTAAGAGGTGTAATATCAGGAGCAGAAGAAGCCATGGCACTGTCGAGGAGAAGAACAGCATTCATGAATAATAATTTAATAATGTATCAGAAAAGATTAAAAATGGCGGACATTTATATGGAAAAAGCAATCGATGGTTTACCTTCGGGAAAATCAAAGTAAGTAAACATACATTTTTTTTTTTTTTTTTATAAATAAGGGTCATTCACCCTTTTAATTTTTTTTGTTTTAGTTTATGGTTTCAATATAAAATGCTTCATCCATTTTCATTAACATTTCAAGAAGAATTTCGTTGGGAACTTCCATTTCTACAGCAACCGGATCCACTTTTTAAATTTTACATGATAAGCGTTATATTTATTTCCATAGGGATTTGTGCCATACAATTTTGTCAACCGCCAAAGTAATCGATATTGATTAATTGATTTATTGTCTGATTATTAAAATCATATTTAAATAAATGAATATTTATTTGTGTATTCAGGATGTATTTATTTTCTTGCATCGGTTTTGGATTATCCATACTCGGATTGATTTGTTTTATTCCACTGACTTGGTGTCATTACATTTGGAACGTTATTAAAGATCCAAAATACGAAATGGAAAAAATACAAGAACCGAAAAATATTTTATTATATTTTTTTTATAAATGTTCTATGAAAATAATATGGAGTTGTTTTCTGAGAACATTAATTTATTGTACGATTTGTATTTTACTTACATTTTGTTCCATGGGAGATTTCGTAAGTGTCATAAAATAAAATTTTCTTTTGTTAAACTTAATAATAATAATAGTTTTTTGTTTTTTTTTGTTTTTTTTTTTTTTTTGCAGTTGATTCGCATCCATTTGGAAAAACAAATAAAAACAGAAATAAATTATGAAAACGACGACGACGACGACGAGGATTATTATAATCTTTGGGTAATTTTAAATAAATAAATTTTTTTGTTAAAAACGAATTTAATCACACTAATTTTCACACGTCCATTTTGTTAAACGACAGATGACGACAGAATGTTGCTATTTGACACTACTAACGAGTTTTTTTTTCACTCGAATACATTTTCAATTGAAATTATTCGTCGGAATATTAATTGTTACGTTATATTCGTGTTTGTTATTTGCGACAAATGTCGTGAAATGTTCAAACGAAACGTGGAATCCAAATTTAGAACCGAAAATATCCCACGTGTTAAGTTTAACATTTCTCGTTATAGGACTTCATTTAATGGATCGACAGGTAAGTCGCCATCTTTCTTTTTTTTTTTATGGGATTTAAAAACGTTTTTTTTTCATTTTGTTTTTTTCTTTTTATTTTCCAGGCAGAATGCATGGATCGATTGGATTATTTATGGAAAAGACAACTGGGTAATGAAAAAAACGAAGCAGAAAAAACAAGATCGATAAATTTAATTTTATTACATAATATTTTACCCATACACGTGGGTAAGTATCCATACTTTTTCTCTTATTTATTTATTTATTTATGTAATTATTATTATTATTGATTTTTTAGCAAAAGTTTATTTAAACACTAGCAGAGTATCGAATGATCTTTATCACGAAAATTACGATTCCGTTTCCGTAATGTTTGCTTCATTAATTAATTTCGATTTGTATCATGGAAAAGACGAGAATAATTCCGAGTTAAAAAGTTTAGAAATATTAAATAAAATAATATGCGAATTCGATGACGCCGTGAGAAATTTTATTTTTTCGTTTTTTTTTTTTATGCATGATTCGGTGGGAAAAATGAAAAATTACGAGAATTTTCTTTTACAGTTGTTCGAAAATAAATTTAAAACGGTCGAAAAGATAAAAGTTGCCGGAAGTACGTATTTGGCTGCTTGCGGTTTACATCCGGGACAAAAAGATTCAAAGGATTTGATTAGAAGAAAAGAATCGACGAAAATGGTCGTCATATTAGCCGAATTTGCTGCAAACGTTTTACGAAGACTCGAAAAAATAAATAAAGATTTTAAAACTGATTTTAAATTGAGAATAGGTGGAGATTTTATTTATAAACCCCGCCCGCCCGCCCGCCCCCGCACGAGTTTATAAAATGTTTAAATAAATAAAAAAAAATTTTAGGGATGTCTCACGGACCTGTTACTGCTGGAGTTGTAGGATCGCAAAAACCGTTATATGACATTTGGGGAAATGCCGTTAATATTGCTTCAAGAATGGATTCGACTGGAGAACCTGGAAAAATTCAAGTCAGATATTTTTTAAAAATGTATTTCACGAGCTTATTATTATTATTATTATTATTAATCGTTCGTATATTTTAGGTTACTTCCACGACAGCATACGTTTTACAAAACGAAGGTATTTGTTGCACATACAGAGGTCCGACTTTTGTCAAAGGAAAAGGAGTAATCGATACATATTTTATAGATTTAACGAATTCGTTATATTTAAAAAGAAAAAAATAGTTTTTATTCCAAGTAGTATTTTCAATTATAAGTTTTTTTTTAGCTTTAATATTTTAATAAATCAAATTGAAACTTTTAGACGACACTTAAACAAGCTTTAATTTTTTCCTTTGTGTTTAAAATTTTCATAGAGTAACAAAAATAACGTGGAAATATTATTACATCTTTAAACAAACTTGATTTATTCCTCCGCGTTTAAAATTTCCATAGAGTTACAAAAAAAAATTCTTTCCGTTTTGTCTATGTCCACGTCTATGAACGTCGCCTATGTCGGCGTTTCTTCGATTTAATCTTATTCTGATATCGTCATAGAGTAACAAAATATCGAATAAAGTAAACAATCGAAAAAAAATGAAAATTTTGACGTCATTGTTTTGTTTACGTATATACGCCATTTTCAATTTCGTTAACGGCCATTTTATTCAACGTCTTTAATTTTAAATTAAGGAAAACAAAAGGTAACCGATTTTTATTTACTTTTTTTTTCTTTTTAATAAATTAAAAATTATTTTTATAAATTAAAAACATAAATCTCGGGTAAAATAAAGAAAAAAACAACAAAATACATTTAAACATTTATATTAATTAGCATGTGCCTGTCATTACATGTAAAAAAAAAAAATACAAAATCTAATCAATTTGTAATTTTAATCATTAATTAAAGTATCTTACAAAACACAAACACAAATCAAAAAATTACGATTCGAATAATAATAATAATACTACTACACGTTACTTATGTATATAATGTATATATATCAAAAAAAAAAATAATAATAATAATAATTTTGTACAAAAAAAATACAAAAAATAACAAAAAAAATTAAATAAGAAATTTATATACGGAAAGGGATAGTCTCGTTTTCAGTCTCGTTGAAAAACTAAATAATAATAATACTAATTAATACAAATCAATATATAATTTAAAAGTCTTTATTATTATTATTATTATTTTTCTCATTTTTCGGATCATTAACGACTTTGAAAATTTTATTCCATTCAAGGAAAACCAATTTCTTCTTCTTCTTTTAATTTTTCTTTATATAATAATATTTCCGATGGGGGCGTGTCGATGTGATAAATAATTGTTTTATTTTTCGATTCGTCGAAACTGATAAATTTTTTCTGAAAAAATAAATAAATAAATAAATAATAATAATAATAAATAATAAAATAAAACGGTTAACTTGATTTATGAAAAAAAAATTACTTTTTTAACATTTTTCGGCGATGAAATTTTATATGGAGAAATCGAGGATGACGACAACGGGTCTATCGAAACGATGTCTTCTCTGGAAAAAAAAAAAATAGGAAAAGTTTTTAAAAAATGGCAATAAAAATTAAATCAATCAATCAATCAATGAATCCATCGTCATACCCAATGATTTCATCTTCGTTTGATAAACGACCGTTATTATCCACGGGGGGTAGGTAATTTGAATTTAAATTTGCCAACATTTTCGACACTCTTGAATTTTTATCCAAATGAATATTTTTTTTCATTGTACATTTTCCATCTTTTTTTATCGACGAATCGTTTAAATCTTGTTCCGAATTCGTTTCCTCGATATTATTTTTCGAATTTGGTATCAATGATATCATTCTGAAAGCTCTGCTACAATTCCTGTTACGATTAACTAAAAAATTTTTATTTTTGTTTTTCGGTGATGATGATGATGATGATGATAATTCTTCTCTTATCGATTTTGATTCTATTAAATTTTGTTTTTCATCGTTTATATTTTCTTTTGATGAAAATTCGTCGACGGTTACAACATTTAATTTTAATTTTTTATTTTTACATTCGTCATCGTCGTCGTCGCCGTCGCCATTTTGTTGAAATTTTCTCTTTTTTCCTAAATTTTCATCTGGTACAATATTATTATTCTCTTTCGATTCTTCCGTAACTTCTGGTAAATTCCCTTCGTTTAGAATTATATTATTCACTTCATCTTTATCAGGTAAGCATAAGTTTTCCTTATCGATATCGTCTACAGTTGGTAAAACATCATCGTTTACAGTTTTCGGTTCGCTTATCGTTATTAATTCGTCAGGTTTAGAAAAGGCGTTATCAGGTGTCGAGCTTATTTCGGAGGTATTCGATTTCTTAATTTGATGATCTTGGTTAATTTTTTTCGGAAATATTTTAAAACAATCGGTAAAATTAGAAGTTTGAAGAAGTTTACAACAAGGTTCTAAAATTTTCGCATAGTTATGATGATGAAGAGCTTTGACGGGGCTGCTAGGAGGTGATTCCACGTCTTTCGACGTCTTTAAATTTTTATTACATTTCGATTTTCTTTTTCTTTTTTTTCAAAGTTTTTTTCACGTCTTTCTCACGTTCTTTATCATCGTTTACATTATTTATCATTGTTTTTAACGAAGTTTGTTTCCACGTTGTTTTTTCTACTTTTATTTTTTTATTACATAATTTTTGATTATAGTTATTTTTATTTGAAATTATTTTTTCTTGTAATTTTTTCACTTCTTCCTTATTATTCGTATCGATTATTTTAAAAAATTTTTCCAATTTTCCATCCATACTATTTGTTGTATTTTTTCCACTTTTTATATTTTTTTCTTTATCGTTTTCCTTTAAATTTTTTTTTCCCTTTGATTTATTTAACGTATTATTATAATTATTATTTACATTTTTTTTCTTTTTTTCTTCCGGTTTTATATTTTTTTCCAATAATTTTTTACTGCTTCTCAATTCTCTTCTATCGGATAAACAATTTCCACCATTTTCTTTTCTTTCATTTATTCTTTCCGTTTTTCTCAATTTATTTTTATAAACAATTTCCTGTACGATGACTTCGAAACTTTTTCGCCTTTTTCTCGTTATTGGATTTGTTTCCGACAATTTTAAATTTTCTAATTTTTTATTTTTTTTCTGATTTCTCGTTTTTAAATTGTCATCAGTGCCAATGATTTCAGTATCGCTTTTTCCAATTTTATTAATTTTACAATTTTTATAAGATGTCGTTCGAATTTTTTTCTTATTTAAATTCGATGATGGTTCATGAGTAGTAGTAGTACAATTGTTAAAAGTTATGGGTAATAATGATTTCGAATTATTATTTATTTTTTTTTCTGATACTTTTATGTGTTCAATATAATTTTGAATCGTTGTGGAATAAAAAAATTTATCGAATTTAACATTTTCAAACGTTATCGAATGAAAATTAATAGTTACAATAATTTTATTAAAACCATTTAAATAATGTTTCATTATTGCCGGTAATAATGATGATTTTTCCGGCATTTTTATCATTCCAAAATTTCCTTTTGGTTTAATCACACTCAAAGAATTATTTATTTTTAATTTATCATCAGATAAATTTGTAAAATCTAATTCGGGAGAATAATCACCGATATTTACTGATAGAGGAGATTCGTGTGAATTTTTTTCAGTTGATTCTAATGATGATACTTTATCATCATGACAAAAGAATTTTATATTTAAAATTTTTATACTGTTTTCGATCTGAAATTTAAAAAAAAAAAATTATTTAGAAATAAATTTTCAAATCGTATACAAATTTTCTATTGCCATTCGAGTAAAAAATTGTTTTACCTTTTTTTGGCAGGCATCATCAAGATATAATTTATCTAATTCAAAATTTACTGATGTTGCTCTAAGTTTTCTATAAAATTTCATTTCTTTTTTATTGTAGTTTTTAATATCTAATTGTGATAATGTGTTTTTGTAACACTCCACCAAACCGCACCTGCAGATAAAAATTTTTAATTTTTACATCATTTTCGAGAAAATACTTATTTCGAATTGTAATAATTGTGATTTACCAAGAGCCCCAATAAAATGATTTCAAAGAGAAATCTTCTAGAGAATCTAGTAAATAATTGCAGAGATCATAATCACAGACTGAAATAGTTTTCAAAGTAAGAACTTTACATATATCTTCGCAAATGATGAATTCATCCATGTTAAAACATTCTTGTTCGCAATTAATTTTACATATTTCTATCATTTTTTTAAGCATCGCTTCACAGGGTGTCATAAAACATGTTTCACCTCTTATGTATTGTGAAAGAAGTAAAACAGCATTTACTCTCTGGATTAAAAAATAAAAAAAATATTAAATTTAATCTTTTATTTTAAGCAACGAACAATCAAGTTCTTACACACCATGGCACAAGCATGAAGATACAAAAGTTTGTCTTTAACATTTTCATTTTTTTCCGAACAGAATTCAAAAATGAGAATTTTAAAAATTCTATGCCAAAAAGGCTTAATGATATCATCATAAGATATTTCACAATAATCTAAAAAAAAAAAAAAAAAAAAACTATTTAATGGAGAAATAAAATCACATGATATCATTACCCTACACTTTATAGATTTTACCTAAAAAACATTCCCATAATTTTAATATTAAATTTTTGTCGTTAACTTTTGTCCAACAATCAAACACATCCAAAAATTTGTTGATAAAAGTAATAGATAATTTATTTAGTATTCTAGAATCTATTGATAAAATTTGAAAGCTATCAGGAAATTTCATATTGGTTTTATCTTTACTAAATAAATGAAGAATTAACTGAAATATAAATCCATAATTTAATAAAAGAAAAATGAATGAAAATAAAAAAAAAAAGATTGTCATAGTGGCGATTAAAAAAAAAATTATTCACCTCGAGAATGTAAATAGTTATCTTATTATCTAAACTATCAATTGATGTCAACCATGTAAAACAAGATTGTAAAAAAAGTTCTAAAATATAATTCAATCCTTCCAATGTCATTTCACTATTAACTTTGTGCATTAAATTCCACATGATGTTTAATTTTAATTTACATACATCAGAATCTTTATGTAATGAATGTAATTTTTTTGTTAAAAGGGGCTCCATGGCAAACTGACAGAAATTATGTATTTTCCATTCCTTTATGTCATTTTCTTTTATCCAATCATCCCAGCACTTTAATGCTTCCATTTGGATAGTTTTATTGGAAGATTTACATCTTGCTTGCAAATCCGTAAGAGCTTTGCTCACTTGTGAAGAAGGTCTAAATAAAAAAAAGAAAGTCAATTTAGACGCGGTCTTAAAAGATAATCAAGTTTAAAAAAAATTTATCTTACAAATGAAGATTGACAACTTTCTGCGAATAAGGCAATAATCCTAGCTTTTCCCACTTCCTTGTAGTTAACATCGTGAAAATAATAACTTGCAAAAACAAAAAAAACCACAAAAAATATTATTACATAGTCGGAAACATGATCTTAACACAAAAATGAAAAAACTATTAATTCGATTGAGTATTAAAAAGAAGCCTTAAAAACCGCCAAGTGTCGTGGCAGAAGAAAACTTTTCTCAAGGTCATTAAAAATTCAAGAAGTAAAAAAAGGCAATTAAAAAATACTTTACGAGAAATATAAGCTTCAGTTTGTTGTTTAATTTTTTTTAAGCTTGATTTAAATCTCAAAAAAATTTTTTTTAATAAAAGTTTTAGCCAAGTGGTTTTATATATAATTATTATACATTTGTTATCTTTTTTATACTTAAAGACAGCTGTAGCCGTTTACTTTGTTTTCTTAAACGCGTATAAATTTGTGAAGTTAAATGGTGTAAAATTTCGTTATTTCAAGTTGATTAATTTATTACACCTGATTATTTTAATTAATACTTTTTTTTTTATAAAATATTATAAATGATGTACAGGTTCACGTGGAAAATGAGACATTTTTTAAAATTTATTTAAAAAAATATGATTAAGTATTTTTTATTTAAATGGTGAAGAACTGATGGAATCGTTCCAGGAAATTTTATTTTGTTTAATTAAATTTAAAAATAGTTCAAACGTCTGTATTCAATTTATTAAAGGTAACGAATTTAAAAAAAGAAGTTATTTAAATGCTTTTATAAAATTATTAGACATTTTGTTTTATTTTATTACGAAAGAAGTAATGTAATCATTGATGCACGTCATTGGATTGATATTGATTAGAATGTTTCGAACATTAAATTTTAATGCACAAATGAATTTTTAAAAAAGTTTTGTATAATTATTTTGTAATATAATTTCAGGTAATTTTTCAGTTTTTACATACTTAGTGTAACATTGGAGCAATGGCTGCTGACAAATCACCAGAAATTTTGTATATGTTTGTTATTGGTTTTCATCATAAAAAAGGATGCCAGGTATGTAATGCTTTATTTTTTTTAAATGCAATTTATTATTGGATTTTAGATTTGTAAAAGAATACACTTAAGATAAAATATATATTTTTAAACTTTGTGTTAAATTAAATGAATTTTTTTTTTTTTTTTTAGATTGAATTTTCTTATCCAGAAATGAAAGTTTTGCCGGAGCCATGGAAAAGTTTGCCATCTTTGGCCATGCCAGATGGAGCTCATAATTACGATAATGATTCTGTGTACTTTCATTTACCCAGTTTAGATAATTCGACAGATACAATTTTTGGAATATCTTGCTTCAAACAAATTCCTATTGAAAAAGTCAAAAAGAAAACATCAGACATGACTAGAGGTGCTGTGCAAAAAGCTGTTTGTGTTTTAAGTACTGTACCATCTTATGGATATTTACAGGTAAATGATTTAAGAGGTTAAAATTTAAATATTAATTTTATTTTTAAATAAATCATTTTTTCTTTTAAAGATAAAAATGGATTTGGTGACAGATGCATTTTTCGAAGGTGATTTTTCAGAAGTATCATTATTAAAAGATGCTTTTCATCATTTGAATGGTTGCTTGCCACTTTCCTATGTACAACATTTACACGATGGTAAAATATTATTACATTTACACACAATGTCACTTGTTAATCGCACTTGTATTTGTATCTCAGTGTTATTCATTTTATTCAGGTTTATCTGTTCGAGATTTGATTGTGAGATTTCGTCACAGAGCTTTACTTCTATTCAAACTAATCCTATTAGAAAGAAAAGTTATTTTTTTTCATTCTCCAGTTCAGCCTTTATGTTCATGTGTATTATCATTGATCTCTTTGTTTCCCGGAGTGATACAAAAAGGCCTTTATGATTCTACTTGCGGATAGTAATAAAACAAAAACATTTTAGTTTTATGTTTATCAAATAACCATTGTAACATTAATGTATTTTTTTAATTTCAGTCAAACAAAAAATGTTGTTAATTGTGTAAAAAATAATATAGAAGAAACAGATGAGAAAAGACTTAAAAATTTAGAAGATGACCAAAGCGAATTAAATGATAAAAAATCACCAATAGTAGTAGAAGATGTAATAAAAATTAGTAACAATTCAAATATCGATAATAAAATGGTTGATTCACTCAACAATTGTGAAAATGGAAATTTATTAGTTGAAGGTGAATGTCTGCATCCCTGCATGCATCATTTTTACACGTGTATCATTTATTTATCATTATTATTTTATTTCGTTACTTCCAGACGCGAACGTATTAGATAAGAATATTAACGATAATAATAGACTGAAAAAAAACAACCATTCGGAGCCGGATAACCAAAATAATAAAAAGGAAATGGATGATGAAGTTCATCAAACGAATAAAAATGATTGTGGGGGTGTTGATGAAGAAGAAGTTGATATTTTTTTCATGGATGATTATTTCACAGATTTAAAAATTTTAGAAAATTCTCAACTCGAGTAAGAATAAAATAAATTTTTTTAATTTTCTTAACGTTCTAAAATTTTTAATCTCGATCAGTAATTGTCATTTTTTTTTTTTTTTTCCAGAAAAAATCCAGAATCTTTTACGGGAGAAACAACTCCATTGAATTGTGATTTAGGTTTTATAGAAAATTTAAATTTAGATAATTACGGTTTACCACTTGAAATATTCACGCAAGGAAATTTATGTCTTCCTTACGTGAGCATAAGTTATTTGGATTTTTTATCCGGTGAAAACGTACAAGGTAGTAACAATAATCGATAAATCGATCGATCGATCGATCGATCGTTTTTTTTTCAACCTTAAAGAGTTAAAATTTTTTAAATAAAATAATTTATTAGGTTTTGTAGCTGGGGCTGCAAACGTTTTATTCAAACAAAAAAGACATTTGGCGGATGTTTTAATAGAATTAGAAACGAACAAAATAGAAACACACTGTCCGGAACTTCGAAGACAATTATTATTAACAACGGAAGATCTTAGATTCGGTGAACAATTAATAAAAGGTTTAGATTTAAATACGACGGAAAATGGGGATGAATGGTTTCGATCGCAATTCACGTTGTACCTCATTTCATTACTTCGGACATCTTTGCTCCAAGGTTGTAAGAAAGGAAAAAAATCCTTCATCCATGGATAAAAATTTTCTTTTGCAATAATTATATATATATATAATTTTTTTTTTTTTTTTTTTTTTAGAGGGGAGTAAAGAAATAGATCATTTCAATAATCATTTCGTTAACGCTTGGAAAAATACGAAAAATTACAAAAAGTGGATTGAAAAAGAATCAAACGAAATATCAGACATAAATCCAGGTCATCCTTGTGCGGGTAATCTTTCGGTAACGGATATGAGATTAAGATTGTCGCAGTAAGTCAGTCAGTCACCAAATGTCTTCAGTCGGTCTTTCTCAACATTTAATAAAAATAATTTAATAAATTTCGATTACGTTGTAGAGTCATGTCGAGTTCGGAAAGTGGAAGAAGATTAAATCAAGCCGTGACGACTACAGGGAAAGCTGTCGGTGGAGCAATCATTCAAGCAAAAGGAGCTTTTACTCATTGGTGGAGCAGTTTGACAGCACCCGAATCAAAACCAGTCAAACCCGTTGAAAACATTTAAACGAATGACCCCCCGACCTCCCCCTCCCCCCCCAAATTAAAGGAGCTTTAAGAATAAAATGACAAGACAAAATGAATCGTTTGATAAATTTATTATAATAAATAAAAATGTTTTATTTGTTGTTTCGAAAAAAAAAAAAAAACATGTCAATACTATTATTATTATGTGTGCTTTTTATCCGCGAATGTTGTTAATTACATTAATAAATATGAGAAAGGAAAACTTTGGTAAAAAAAGGATTTTGTCAATTAAAAACTATTTAATGATAGGAAAAGAAAAGGAAGCCAAAAATGATGTGCATTTTATTTAAAATAATAAATAATAAAATAATTTAATAAGTGTTTGTTTGTTTATTGTAAATCGATACTTGCCATTTTATTGTACAATTATTATTATTATTATTATGTCGAATCCGTTATAAAATTTTATTATTATTTATTTATTTATTTTATTTTACTTTTTTTTTATTTTATTTATTATTAATAAATTAATATCGTTTTTCGTGCAATAAAATTAAAAAAAAAAAAAAAAGGAATTTTTTAAATAAATTATCATGACCATACATTAATTAATTATATTTATCTTATTTATTTTTTATTTATTTACATTTACAAGAGTATTGAATAATTTAATTAATTATTTAAATAAAAAAAAAATTTGTATTTGTGAATATAGAAAATTGTGTGTCGTTCAACTTCTTTGTAACTTTGTATTATTATTTCCAACACAATTAAATTATTTAAATAAATTAAAAGTTTTCTTCCTTTTTATCAAACGCAATTGTTTTTGTTTTGAAATATGCCATCGGTCAAACAATTGCATAACTAATATTGCTAAGGCTACGTTAGGTTCCAAAACGAAGGCGACGAGGGTCGCCGACTCCGGGGTCTTTCCTCTTTTTCTTTCGACGCCCACTTGGCGGGGCTCAAAAAAGAGCCTCATCTGCCTCGGAGCAAGATCGAGAAATTGAAGAAAAAACGGAAGGAGTCGGTCCGGGCTGCTCCTGGGGTTAAGAAGTGTCGAACGCGGGAGAGGTGTCTGCGTCGGGGCCCCTCGGAGCTCGGCAGGGGTTGCCGGCGGGCCTCGCGTCGCTCCGCCCAGGTGGAGCCTGCAGTCGATGGACGAAGAGCGGCTCGTCGAGTGCCTCGCCGCGGAGTCGTGGCGAAAGGCCAATTCGTATTCGGGGGAAGGAAACGCCGGCGAGATGGCGCGGAGAATCCGGAATTTGTGCATGAGGAGGATCGGCTCTTTTCTCCCATCGCGCCCTACGCGTTCCCTCCGGCGGACTTCGCCTTCAACCGCGAACGCGATCGAGTCACCGAGGGGGAGATTCGCATCCTCCTCGACGCGGCCTCCAAGAAGCGCACGGCTCCGGCCCCGAACGGCGTGCATTATCGGATCCTCGGCAAGTCAATCGAGGTGATGTGCGCCCATCTTTCGGCGCTCTACACCGAGTGTTTCGCGGGGGCGTCGTTTCCGAAGCAGTGGAAGTTGGCGAACTTCGTGCTGCTCGAAAAACCGGGTAGGAACCCGTCGACGTCCGGCGCATATCGGCCTTTTGCTTCTCGATGTGGAGCGTAAGTTGTCTCGATGTGGTCGTTGCGTCGCGGATAATCGGTCACATGGGGGCGGACGGGGGAGGAACGACCTCTCTCCGAATCAGTACGGCTTCCGGGCGGACCGTTCGACGATCGACGCGCTCGTTCGAATCCGTGACGTCATCAAAGAAACTCTGCGCCGAGGCGGAGTCGCGATCGCGGTTTCGATAGACGTGAAAAACGCGTTCAATTTCGTTCCGTGGTCGGCGATACGGGACGGACTGGTTTCGAAGTCCGTGCTCAATTATCTCGCGTCGTTGATAGGGTCCTTCCTCTCGGAGAGGAAGATTTCGTACGAGAAGCCGGACGGAACGACGGAAACGGCGAGCGTTTTCTGCGGCGAGCCCCAGGGGTGGTTCTCGGACCGCTCCTCTGAAATATCGCCTACGACTGCGTTCTCGCCCGGACCGTCCTTCCGGAAGGTTGCTCTGATATGCTACGCGGACGACACCCTGCTCCTCGCGACCGTTTGCGGATGGGCGGAGGTCCGGGATCGTGCGGAAACGGGACTTTGCGCGACGGTGGAGGTCATTTGAAGCATCGGACTCCAAGTGTCTCTGCCGAAGACGGTAGCCTGCGGATTCCACCGTCCGAGGAATCGGCTTCCAAACGGCCTGGCATTGTCGTCTGGGGGAGTAAGGATCGGGGTGGGGAGGACGCCCAAATACATGGGGGTGACTTTCGACTGGGGTCTCACTTTCGGACAACACCTCGCGCTTCTCGGACCGAAGATCCGAGCCGCGAGCGCATCGTTAGGGCGCCTGATGCCGAGCCTGCGGGGTCCGCGGGCGAGGGTCAGGCGATTGTACCGACGGTCGTTTACTCCGTGGCCCTGTACGCATCTGTCGCTGTGGCGACATCGCGGCCGCTTCTCGAGAGGGCAATCCAGCTTCATAAGGCGTCTCTGAACAAGGTGGCAACGGCGTACAGGGACGTCGCGGCGGAGTGGCTTGCCTTCTGTCGGGAACTCCCCCGCTCGATCTCCTCGCGGCCGAGAGACTCGTCCTCTACCGCGAGTGGCGTCGCGGCGGGCCGAGGAGGGCCCGATTCCGCAGGGAACTTCGCGTTCGCACGGTCCGATCCTGGCAGGCGCGTTTCGTCGATCAGCATCGAAAACGATACGGGGGAAAAATACTTAATGTTCTTGGCTCCCGAGTGGGGGACTGGGTGGGGCGGGGTCACGGAAACTTGACCTATCGTCTCGCTCAGGTCCTCACGGGTCACGGGCGCGTAACAACAACAAGTCGAATTCAATTAAAATAAAAAAAAAAAAAAATCTTATTATTCATCGTTCATATAAAAGGAAAATTTTTTTTTTGTACAATTTATTAAACAAAACTTTTAAATTTTATTAATATTATTATTATTATTATTATTATTATTATTATTATTATTATTATTATTAATAATAATAATAATTGTAAGGTAGTGTACAACGGTTGATATGCGTAAACGCATATCGACTTATTTAAATAATTTTAATAGTTTTATTTAATAATTTATTTATAAGTTATATATAAAAAATTTTGTAATTAAGTCTAGTTTATTGTGATGTAATTAGTTTTTTATATTTTTTTGTAATAATTATATTATTTTAAGTTTAAATATACAAATATTATGTAACTTTTGTAACAAAAATAAAAGTGATTTAATAAAAAATATTTATTAATAATTGATTTAAAATTTTTGTACACCTGATTTTACCTATAAATCCACACCTCCATTTTCACTCGTGATTTGAAAAAAAAAAATAAACCTCTTCATTCTTATGTTTTTCTAACGTAAACAAAAACAAAAACAAAAAACGTAAACAAAAACAATAACAACACCGAAAAACGTAAACAAAAAAAAATCCAAAAAATTTAAAAAAAAAAAAAAAAAATCGAAAAAATCAAAAAACGTAAACAAAAACAAAAACAAAACCGAAAAATGTAAACAAAAACAAAAACAAAACCGAAAAACGTAAACAAAAACAAAAACAACACCGAAAAACGTAAACAAAAAAAAAATTAAATTTTTTTCCATCGTTTTTTTGAATTTTTTTTTTTTTGGGGGGGTAGGAGGAGTAGAGGGGTTTCGAGTTAACACAAAAAGAGTGAGGGGGGAAAGTGCGCAACGATTTAAAAAACAATAAATAATATACATAATAATTCATAATAATATACATTCGTAATTCTCACTTTTAGTATATCATAAATCCTAGCCGTCGGCCAACAAACCGGATGTCATCCTGAGGTATAAATTTTGGCAACACTGATGACGTCATGCAGGGGAGAAAAAAAGAAAAAAAACAGTTAAAAATAAAAACATTTTTTATTTATTTTTTTAATAAACAAAAACATGTTTTGAAAACAATTAAAACATAACAAAAACAATTTTTTTTTTTTCAATAAGAAAAAAAAAACGTAAAAAAGTGCATTAATGAATCAATCAATCATTCATTCAATTTCTTGCACACACACGCGAGGGAGATCGATCGGTTAGGGGGAGTCTCGTCCCACTCTCGTCTGCGGCGACTTCAACGCTAAGCACGTCTCGTGGTCGGGGTACGCGAACAACGCGCGCCCGACTCCTCAAGGAATGGGAAAACGTGCATTATCGATTCGCGTCATTTCGTCGTGCGAAACAAGAGGGAAGCTAAAACGTGCGTGAGGGCCACCGGCGAATCCGCGATCGATCTCACGGTTTCTTCCGTCGCGGCCGCGGCGTGGGTCTCCGGCTGGGAGGTTCTTTCCGGTTTCGAGTCCCTGAGCGACCACGCCTACCTGGCGTTCTCGTTCGGGGCTCCTCGGAGTTCGGAGTTCCTCGCGTCATCTTCCGCCCCGGTGGAGCCTGAAGTCGATGGACGAAGAGCGACTCGTCGAGTGTCTCGCCGTGGAGTCGTGGCGAAGGGTCTACGTTTTGGGGGACGAAAACGCTGTCTCGCCCATCGTCGGTTCGGGGAACGAAAACGCGAACTCCTTCGCCGCGGGGGAGATTACGAACAGATCGTGACCGATTCGACTTTGCTGGGACTTAAAGCGGAGTGGCGGGCTTAGCGGGTTCGCGTTCGCCGAGCAATATGGAGTTCGAAGGAGGAGAGTTGGAAGGAGCTCCTGAGCGAGGTCGACACGGATCCGTGGGGTTTTCCGTTCCGCATCGTGACCAAGAAGCTACGGAGTCCGTAGGGGCCGCTGTCGGCCGGCATGACGGGGGAGTTTCTCATCGAAGTCATTGCGGAGCTCTTACCGCGCGTCGCGCCCTACGCGTTTCCTCCGGCGGACTTCGCCTTCGACCGCGATCGCGACCGAGGGGGAGATTCGCATCCTCCTCGTCGCGGCCGCCAAGAAGCGCTCGGCTCCGGCCCCGAACGGCGTGCATTATCGGATCCTCGGCAGGTCTGTCGGGGTGATGTGTTCGCGT